TCTTTGAACATACCCACTTCCCACGGTTCTTCCCAAGGAGGGGACACTGGGCTGCAAGCCACAGCTAGGTTCAATTGGACCCTCAACCACAAATCCCAAAGGAGAAGTGAATGCATCTCTTTTACCCTGCAGCTGCCAGCAGGCTAGTCGAGATTCTTGATTTGGTTTTTATCAGCCCCCAAAGACTACCTCCTCCCTGGTAGCTGTGACAGTAACAGCGCCTGCGCCGCAATCAAGTTGATCTGTTTTCCAATCTAATCAGAACACAAGTGATCAATAGCTGTCCTTGATAGGGTCTACTGCTCCCAAGCAATGTCGATACCCATTAGGGAAGCTGATTAAAATCTCCGCTCTGCTGGAGGCCAAGGGACCAGGGTACCAGTGACCAGCACTCATTTCCCTGCACGCAGCTCTGCCTCTCAGTGACCCCCTCCTCCGGTGCTGGCAGCCTCCGCCCCGCTCTTCGTTCTGCCTCCTTCCCACTTTCCCACCCCAGCTCACGGGCCACCTTCACTTGCAGGGTCTCTGTCCTTTCACTCCACCCGCACCCAGTCCTGCAGGAGGCTTTTCAGAGCTAAGTGCTGTTCTATGCAATACGGCTGTGTGGACTTAGGGTCTATGACTTCTTCCTGCACTGGTAGTCTCCTCTGCAGACCTGCTTAAAGGAAGGATCATCCTCAACAGCACTAGAACCTCCTACTTCCAATAGTCCAGAATCCAGAGGGGCTCCACAGAACTAAAAAGTTGAGGTTTTCATTGAGGAAAATTCTCTTGCTGCTGTAGGGCAGACTTTAAGACTATGTGTAAGCTGGTGCTAAGCAGAAAGGCAAGGTCTGCCCTTTAGATATTAAGGGCCACGTAGACCACATTCGAGAGGGCTGAGGAAATCTATGAAGCAGCAGCTCTATTTCCTATTAAAACAACTTGTCCAAAGGCTGCCTGCAACAAATTGCTTTCTATCCATTTCCCCATGAGCTCCAATTTCCACCTCTGCAGGTTTTAATATTCTTACCAAGCCATTAGGTGGGAAAGCAATTGCAACACCATTCAATTACCCTCAATATTAAATTCACTTTCTAACAAGGATGAGAAGTCAACCTTGACGTGCTAATGTTAAACAGTCAGAAGAAAACAAGAGCAAAAATTCCGAGTTTAAGAAATGTTCTGATCTTCCTAGGAATAGAAATTGTAAGCCTGGAAGGGATCTTAAGGACGATCCAGTCCAACTGCATTCTGCAGACAGGGAAGGTGACTCTCCCAAGGTCACGTGGCTAATAAGAGCTGGCCTTAGAACCCAGCTATTCTGACTCCTAGGGGCTTATCCCTTCCTCTTGCCTTTTTCTGCCCTCAAAGCTGCCTTGCTTATTGGGTGAGAGGACTCACATCCTTTGATGGGTTGAAACCTGCCTTAAAAATCAGTGTGGGGACCAAGATCTGCAGTTATAATTGGGCCTAGATTTGGGGCTGCTGTGTGTCTAGAGTTAGGTGCGGTGCTAGCACGAACAGTGGCCCCTGGGAATGGCCAGGAGGGAAGGCCCCCAGCCAGCGCCCAGGTAGGGTCACCTCAGTGTTAAGCTCCAGGGGAATCAGTGGCTCCCCCAGCGGGTTGGTACCAGGAATTCCCCCTGCCTAGTGGCTCAGTTGCTGAATCCTTTAGGCTTTCCCTTTTGTGGGGCAGAGCAGCCTGGAAGCTGAATAACTGGCAATCTTTTCAATAGCTCATCTCTCATCTCCGTGCTTCTCGTGCCGCAGGACCGCCAACGTGATCAGGACGGAAACGCCGGCCTTTGTCCGAGGGGAGGCAGTCTATCTGTCTGGCTAGGGGAGGCTGCACTGGGGCCAGAAATCCAGAGACCAAACCAAATGCGTGGCTTTGAGCATTTCTTCTTCTCTCACCCCTGGCTCACTTAAAAGCCCCTGATAGCAAAACAGTAGTTCATACACGTTTTTGTGGGATTCACAGGCTAATACACGGAGTTTCAGCCTTCTCGTTTCTGGGCAGAATTGTCGAATAAGGACGTTTTGTTTTGGGCGGAGAAGCAGGTGGCCTCACAGAGCAATAAATACATCCTGGCCCCAAACATGGGGTGGGAGACAGGAAGGCGCAGAAGAGAAGCGAACACATCCTGCAGTTGGACAGAAAAAGCCAGGGAGGTTCCAGGACATATCAAGTGAGACTGCCCAGTAGGGAATTTAGCACACTGAACAAACCCAGGGCATGTCTATTCTTTAGATTCTTTAGAGGCAACACCCCAAGATTTGCATAACTCTGTTGCACTAGAGACTGGGACTGGGACTAGGGGTCATCATGCCCAAGAGCTATCTGGAAAAGAGTAAGCAGCCCTTGAAAGACAAATAGGCGAAGCAGTGAAACCTCAGCCAGAGAATCTCTGGAATGGCTGAATCATTACTCTCAAAGGTGTGGCTTGCTTTGAAAAATATCAAATTAATGAGAACAGAGGATATAAAGTTGTACCAAGAACCTTCTCATCCCCATTCTGATATTTCATGTAAAGACCCTAAAAGTGACACAGCACAGCTGAGCCCCAAATTGTTGGCCAGACCAGCAGTACTCATGCAGCTTGAGCTATCTGGGGTGCTCTTGGGTATTCAAACCAGTCGGTTGAGGACAGAAGGTATGTGGCCACTGAAGAGACCAACAGCACAAGAGGAGAGGGCGGCCTGCTGCTGTCGGCACCCGGAGCGCGCGGCTGGTCATTAGGTCTCTAACCATCGCTCCTGGGGCTTCCAGTCAAAGCAACTGTGAAGAAAGGGTATTTTATTCTCTGGGAAAGGACCAGAATTCAGAGTCTATCTGTCTAATAAAATTAATTGCATAAGAGAGAGTGCCTGAAATTACCTAGGATGGTTTACACTTTCATGATTTCTTGGCCATAGAATCCAATATTCCTGAGATTGAAAGGCTTGTAAATTTTTCATCACAAGGAAAACTTTCTGGCAAGAAAAGGCATCTTTAATGTGAAAGGGCTGTGTGAAGCAGCAGGCCATAACACCAACCTAAGAGTTTTTAGATTCTGTCCCACACTTTTGAAAGGCACAAACAGATGAGGGAACTCTCTGTAACCCCTTTACCCGGTCTATCTAATGGGAGAGGGTCAAATGTTTTCCTAATAATTCAGTTTTCTTTTCCTGAGAAAGAGGCAGCAACCACCCCCATGCCTTGCCCAATATCCAGGATGTGCCAGGAGAATCAATTAGTCAACACCTTGTTTTGATTTTCCCTCTCCCTAGAATGAAGAAGACCTTTATAGTGGAAGTGAGGAAACATTTTACTCTAATTTAGCATTCCCTGAGAACTGAGCTGACAGTGCTCCCATGCTCATACAAAATCCTAATCAGTAGTAGCTTCTCTTGGAAAATGGTTGGAAATGGAAGACAGAATTTTGGATATTCTAAAAATGGGGTCTTGCTAGAGGAGACTATTTCCTATTCTGGAATTAGGCTCTTGAATGATAAACTCTGGTTTAACGAGCATGTAATGTTTCAGAGGGCCATGGAGAACTACATTGTCATTTTCGGGAAAGAGATTAAAAAATGGACAGAGGTGGTATATGTTAAGAGAATGGACCACTCTAAGCCCTGAATACCACTGGCAAATGAAGAGGACTTAAATGACCTGCACACTCAAAATAAACCAACCAAGGGAGAAAATGCCTATAAAGACCAAATACGTTAGATATTACTATGGGGTCATCATCAAGGACTAACCGTTTAATTTTGTGCTAACAGAGTATCTGTCTAGGTTTGGGCATGATATTTTCAAAGGCTGTTTTTGTCCAGACGAGGACAGACGAGATGTGACAGGCAGGAGAAGCATGCTATGTGAGGAATGCCTTAAAGGACTGGGAAAACGCCAGTTCGAAGTAAGGTTGAGGGGAGGTGACCAACTACACAAGGGGCTGTCACGTCAAAGGGCACTATGGACCGTGTGGAGCACCCAGGGGCAGACCCTGACTCATCTTAGTAAAAGCTTTCTGGTTATCAGAGTTGCCCACCTTTCGAGGAATAAATGCATGGCTACCTGACTGTGGGTCAGAGCTGGGGCAGTGGGGTGCAGGTGGGGGTCCCTGTGACATGACAACAGAAAGCTCAACCAAATGACCTCTGCGCTTTGCCACTCTTAAGATTCCGTGACTCTCATCAATGGGTTGGGAGGATCTCATCACTTCAAACCTCTAGTAAGAAGTCATTTCTCCTGTTGGCTTCTAAGAAAACAGATGTCTCTCCCCTAAATCTCGCCACCGGAAACAATCACATTCACCACCATTACCACAGCACGATCTATCTTCTGTCTTCTTCGTCACAAGGTTGCAAGTGTCCCCAGATACTCTACTTACACCATATATGTCTTTCCGACCTGCTTCCACTCCCTGGTCCGCCTCCCACCCATCCACCCTCCCCAGCTCTCATGCCTCCTTACAAGGACTTCCTTTCTCATTAGGAGCAGGTGCCAGAGTGAAGAGAGGAAAACAAGGTCAAAAGGAGGTGAGGCAGAGTGGGCTGTCCAGAGCCCAGATTCTCTAATAAAGGAAATCACTGTGTAGGGAAAACAAGTGGGAGATGAGAGCAGCGGGCTGGCACTTATGCCAGGGTCTGGCTTTTTGGCAAGACGGCCCGTGGTGCCGCCAAGGCAATTCTTCTGGTCTCCAGAGCACCCCAGGAGAAATGATTTTCCACAATGGCCAAAGACAAGTGAGGTCAGATGCTCTGTTCTAGCTTTTACACCATGTGGTAAGGTGGGGGAGGGGAGACAGAAAGGAAAATAGAAGGACAGAAAGGAAAGGAATAAAGGAAGCCAGGGTCATCTGAGCCCTGGGGAAGGGGGCCAGGCATGAAGGAAGAACAGGAATTAAGACTAATCAGGGATGTTACTGGGTTGTTGATAGAAAAAGTAACAGTAACACCAGCAAGGAGTCAGAGAAAAGTCAGTTCCTGAGAGGTGCAGACTAGCAGAGACCTTCAATGCAGAGTCATTGTCACCTTGGAATCTAATGGAAACATAGCTCCAGAGGCCGTCCGATGATTATGCCAACATCCTGTTTCTCTTGGCATCCCAGACAGGATCCTGGAATGGCCACCGTAAGACTCACCTATATCAGAGGACACTGGGTCAGTGTAAAAGGCTGTGGGGTACTGGTTTGGGTAGAGGTCTTACATGTTTGGACCAAGTCCAATGTGGACAAGTAGCTGAGCAGCAGGAAGCTGGGGTCCACAGCTGAGCCTGGTGTACTCCCCAAGGCCTTCTCCAGATGGCTCGAATGATCACAATCATGCTTCAATTAAAACTGTCATAAAACTCACGGGGTGGGGGGCATGGGAGGAACGGGCACTGAGAGTGCAGAGGAAATGTACAGTGCAGAGGAGGTGACTGGAGGAGGGTCAGAAAGACGTTGTCCTTCCACCAAAATATTCACTTCTTTTGGTTGGAAGGCAATGGCTGCAGAAGAGGGGTGGGGGCAGCAAATCCTGCCCTTTCCCTCCTAAATCGGGAGCCTAGTCTATTTGGATAGTTTGCTGATGACTCTGATGAGGGCACCATTTTCATCTTTCAGCCTCTGGTTGTCAGATTTCAGTTCTGTTAACACCTGTAGGGTGACAGAGGGAAAGGTGTGTTAGAGCTTGGCATCATCACCTCCTTACCCTCCCTGACCAGGCCAGGCCAGGCCAGCCCCGTGAACAGGGCGTTCTGAGGCAGGTTATGCAGTGGACTGTCACTACCCTTTCTCCCAGGGATGAAAGTCCCCTGAATCTTCCTATTTGTTGAGTTGGTAATGTTCATATTTAATGGGAGACCACAGCACCTCCATCTTTTGAACTAGCATATTTAGCAATAACATCTTATTTCACGTTCCACACCATGTATCCTTTCATCCTCCTGAATCAGTAACTGTTTATAATTGTTCCAGCCCTTGAACTCACTTCTAGTCTGGAGACATTAAGGAGAGTGCCGAAGTGAGCTGGTGAGGTCACAGAGGAGAAACTGAGAAAGCAGTACTGGGTCAGCTAAAAGGGTTAAGGACAGACACTGCTTCACACCCCATCAAAAACAGGAATGCAGGGGAGAGTGGCACAACTCGGCTGTCACACCCACAAGATGATTTAAGACCCTCCTAGTGCGTTCTGTGATAAAATCCACCCAAATTCCTGCTGGTCATATTACACGTATCCACTTTCAACCACTAAAACCCAAGGAGTTTACGGATTCGGTCACTGCATGGCTGTGACGCCCAGTGAGCACTAGGTATGTATTTAATTCTCACCCAGAGCTCCCTGTGGGTAGCTATCATGGGATACTAGGGGGCCTTAGCAGCACTTTTAGGGGACAGTGTTACAAATCCAGGAAAAAGGTGCTTTGGGGAACGGGGAAATAGAGATGTCAATTCTACCAGTTCTGCCATCTTGGAACATGACACATGGTGCCGTTCAACAGGCAAACAAGGGAAAAACGGCAGCCCAAGCCCTAGTCTGGATAGCCGAGTCTTTGTATGTGAACAGGCACACTCACAGGTGTGCTGTGCATCTAAAAAACCATAATGGGACGTTGCTGAGGGGATAGTTTATGTGTGGGCCCTGCTGGCAGTTTAGGGAGACTTAGGTTAGAGGGAAAGTACATCTTCACCACAAAGGCTACAGGAATCTACATCTCTTCAATGCAAACGTTCTTTGATTTTTTTTTTTTTTAAAGATTTTATTTATTTATTTGACAGAGAGAGACAGCGAGAGCAGGAACACAAGCAGGGGGAGTGGGAGAGGGAGAAGCAGGCTTCCCGCGGAGCAGGGCGCCCGATGTGGGACTCGATCCCAGGACCCTGGGATCATGACCCGAGCCGAAGGCAGACGCTTAACGACTGAGCCACCCAGGCGCCCTTTGATTTTTTTTAGTCATCAAACCTACAGGACTCCAGCAGCGTGAGGTCGCCATTAAAGGATGGCCTGGGCTCGGAGGTCACGAGGCCTGTTTAATTCTAGTTCTGGCTCTGCTATTAACCCCTTGCGGGATCTAACTGTACCTTAAGAAACAGAATTTTTGTCTCCTTAATCTCTTATGGAGGATGTAGATTATGCAAATATATATGTGTATGGACACATATATGCATCACAGAGACATGAGGGATTTGTATTAAGGGAACAAAAAGAAAAGAGTCTTGAACATCCATACTGTGGAAGACACTGTATTTGAGGTTCTCACTCCCATGGTCTCATTAGCACTTCATGAGTCTGTGAATCAGTTGTTATCCTTCTGTTTACAAATGAGGAAAGGAAGAATTTCATAACCAGTCCAAAGTACCCAGCTATTAAATGGCAAAGCTGATATTGAGCCCATGTATACCTGACTCTGAAGATGATTCTTTCATTACAGAGGTTGTGTGGGGCTGGAAAACAAAACAGAAGTCCAGAATCTCAGCACTGCCATTGTCATGAACAATCTCTATTACTTTAAGCAAACCACTCAATTTGTCTGGGCTTCCATTTTTGTATCTAAAGAAGAATCATCATCTCCGCCCTGGTCGCTCATCCAGTCGGGACTCCGTGAGGGCCCCAGGCGGTACCGGATGTGGAAGTGTGCGGACGTACATAACATGCTCTGCAGTACTCAGGATTCTCACGACCACTGTAAGTTCTCCCATGGATGTGGGATGGCAAGTAGGTAATCTTCAAATTTTACTAGAAAGATTTTAATCCAGATAGCATCACAATAAAGTTTTGGTCCTTTAATCCTGCCTTCCTACCTCCAACCTAACCAAAGCTGTTCTGGCTGCTCTCTTTTGTGCCTCTATCCCTGTGGCCTTGACTACCAGAAGTGAGCGCTCAGAAACTCAGTCCAAGAAGATTTTTAGAAAAAGTCAGCCAGGATGGCCCCGCAGTGCTTCACCTTCCCATCTGCTCTCCAATGCCCCATGCTGGGCCCCACAGCCAGCCTGGGTATCAGTGAGACTCTGAACGTTGTAGTTCTTTAATAGGATTCCATAGGCAGGGAAGAAGCTATCTATGTCATTGGATTTCATTACCGGGCCAGCAGCTCATGAAATCAGAACTGATTTCTAAATGTACAAACAACTCATTGAGCCTTGGTGATTTATTTCCACATTAAGAACTCAATTCTTTGAAGAAAAAAAAAACTGGACAAGGCAATTTCCCAGCCACAGTATACTACAAATGACATCTTAAGGGAGTGTCAAAAAGTACAAGAAGTGGAATGTAGAAATCAAGGGGGAAAACAGTCTCATAAACTTGACTCTCAAAAGAGAGAGGAGGAAATGAACAGTGTTATCTGATATTCACTTGAAGTTAAAGAATGATTAAATAAGAACACATGTGGAAGCACTACAGAAGTATGTGGCTTAACAAAGCTTTATCATTTCAACCCCCTGGAGGTCAGCTTTCTTAACTTCTAAATTTCCAGTTCACCACAGGGTGATGTTAAGGTATCGTGGACAAATAAAATTTAAGTGCATGTTTTCCCAAACAAGACTTCGTCCAGCCTTTGATGAGGAATGTGTTGAAGAGGGAGAGGATCTGAGGGTCTTGAAGCTGTGGAGACCCGGGAAGGACAAGGCCAGCTGCAGGGTGATGGGGGCTCAGGATGAGTCTTGCCTAGGCTGCTTTGCTTCTGACTACTTGGGAAGTGGGGAGGGGGTCCCACTGCTTATATATTCTGTTGGAATTGGGTTGCACGACACACTGAGATAAGATGATTTCTCTAGGGGATTATTTAAAAACAAAACAAAAACAAAAAGGCAGGGCAAACTCTCTTGGCCACTGTCAGTTTGGCTTAGTTATCGCATCTTTCCTTCTGGTAGGGGCCTGCATTTTCTGTAAAGGGCCAGATAAGAAATATCAAGCCATATGGTCTCTGTTTCAACTAGTCGACTCTGCTCTTGTGGCACAAAAGTACTTACGAACATAATGATAGTATGTAAACAAATGAGCATGGCTCAGTTCCAATAAAACTTTATTTTTGGACATCAAGATTTGATTCCATGTATTTTCATGTGTCACAAAATATTCTTTTGATTTTTTTTCCCCCCAACTATTTGTATGGCTCATGGGCCATACTGACGGGCCACAGGTTGCTGATCTATTACAGAAGGTCATATGCTATGCAATGGTTTCTTTACAGGGGCAAAATCTTTTGGTAGGTAAATGGCTGTTTGGGAAGTCAAGAGTGAGGAGAAAGCAGAATGCTGTCCTTCATCCCTCAGCTGCAATGGTGGGGGCACACTGTTGTCTTTCAATAGATTCTTCTTGCACCGTTTAGGCCATATGCTTAACAAATGGCTAAAACTCTGTGCCAAATATGCAGGCAGCTAATATCACAGTGGTTGAGTGCTTGGGCTCTGGAACCTGACATATTTGGTTTGAATTTTGGTTCTACCACTTACTCTCTGAATGACCTTGGACAGGTTACTTAATCTGTAACTCATTTTTTCCCATATGTTAAAATGATTGTTCTGGGGAATAAGTGAGAAAAAGCATATATGGTACTGTGCACAGGCCTTAATAAGTGTCAACCTTTACCTTAGTTATTAATTACTGAAAGCACGAGATCTAGTTTTGCTCTATATCCTATACTATCTTGTACAAAGAGGGAAACTAAAAATAACTGGGACATCTTCTGTGGGTCCCTAGTTCACCCCTGTCAAGTTTTCCAGTAACCCTGAGGCTCACTGTAAAGCGTGGAGTTTGGACCTAACACGGCACTCGAGCAGTAGGGTGACAAAGCTGCTTGGTGCCAGGCTGTGGTACCGCTTCCCTTTTAATTTCCCTTCTGTGTGTGATAGCATCTACAGCAGGGTTATCAGCTCAGCCCTTATGGTGATCTGAGCGCTTCAGATCTAGTGGGTATTAGTTGCCAGCTACTGACCCCGAAGGCACAAGCAAATAGGCAGAGAAAAGAACAGGCATTGGTCAGGACTAATTAGATTGTTGTTGAAAATTAAAAACTCATTTCAGAGAGTGAAACTGCTCAGCAGTGGTGACCCCATCACACTACTGTGGGATGGGAAAACAAGCTATCTGTGAGCTTGTCTTTCAAACCTACGTCCAGGGAAAGGCTCCAGTTTACCAACGATATTTTTCGGTTCTCAGTTGAGAATAAATCCCTGCTCTCTGCTCCAATGACTGTCATCTCCTTTGCAAAGCCAGCCCCATTCGGGAAGGTCTGGCTGTGTGAGGGTCTCATTTATCCAGGCTGTGTTGTGCCTCACAGCCCACGCACTGGCTAGGGGTGGGGGTGAGGGGGAACATCCCTAGGGCCCAGAGATTTGTGATAGGGATGAGGGTGATGCCTCCCAAGGAGGGGGAAGGATGCAAAGATAATTGCAGAAGGGAGGCCAAGAATAGCCAAATTCTACTCAAATGGTGGGATGGACAGTGTTGTTGCTGGTGGTGGAGCTCTAGCATTCAGTGCTAGTCGTCCCCATCTAGCATGCTGTCAGGTGTGGAAGACTTAGTTCATCTGGTGTGCAAAGGGCCATTTTCAACCCTGGTTTCACAAAAGAATCAACAGGGGATGTCTGAAAAAATACTGATGCCTGGGTCTCAGCCCAGACTACTGATTTTGGGGGTTGGGGGATGGGGTGGG